TTCTGTTAGCATGTATTACCATTTTACTTCATTTTCTATAAATTATCTCTTTATTTATATAGATATTTTTTACTTTATCTAGTTTTGTATTTACCTTTTCATATGACACACATACACAGACATACATATATACATACATATACGCGACCCATAGGCAGACTTTGAACAACTCTGACTGCAGGGAAATAGTGCATGACTTTGAGAGTTTCTGTATGAACTTACTGGTCATTTGATACTCAAAGAGTTATCGTTAAGCCTACATGCGTGACTAGTGGAGTTACATAGAGGCAAGTAACCACGATCACTGGGTTACAGAAACACCAATAACCAAGAACAAGGGGTTGCAGAGAAAATGGCATCCCCAAGCACTGGGTTACAGGGAAGCCAATATGTAAATAATACCTTTTGTTGACAGTCTGACCGTCTATTGTTTCTCAGTCTTACCTGTGATGCAGGAAATACCCTGTTTGATGTGACGTGTAGGCTTCATGCAGAATGAACTGTAAATAAAACAAATAAGGGAAGTGAAGGGAAAGGCAACAGAAAACACGAATATATCGAAGGCCTATAATCAGTATATGCAGATTCTTAGGCTGATCCATGATGCAGGAGATGCATGTACAGAGAGAGAGAGAGAGAGAGACAAGGAAACCGAGACAGAGAGACAGAGACAAAGTAAGAGGCAGAGAGACAGAGAAAGAGACAGACAGACAGAAAGAATAAATTATACATAACACAACTATACCGACGACCCTTAAATCTGTATATGCATCTACAGGCCTTGAAAAAGCAATACATCCAAAAGACTTTCTTTATATTTGCGTGTTTTCTTGTATCCTTCGTTGCTTTACTTACGAATTGCTGTGACGTGTTTTATATTTGCTTTCTCTCTTTCACGACGATGAATTAGTTTGTTCATTAAATATTTGTTTTCATGTGTTTTCCCAAAATCCAACCGCCTCTTAATGATTTGTTTTTCTGCAAGGGTGGGTCTTCGTGTGTCCAGAAGGGAAGATTGATCCTTATTGACTCATGAGTAGTGATTAGAAGAAAGTCATGTTCCCAGTTTATAAAATTCCTAATGATCTGATTACTTGTCTTTCAACAGTCGATTAGTGCTCAACCCAAGTTATAAGTGGCGTTAATTTTTCATTTTCTTTGTTTTGTTCTGATGTTTTTTATAGTTTTTCGGAGCCTCTTTGTTGTTTTGTTTTGTTTCGTCTCATCGTTCTCCAGAGCATCTGACCGCTGTCAGCTGTATGAGACGAGTACTCAAAGTGTGGAATAACTATCATACGTCACTCCAGTCATAACATGTCATGCATAAAATCTTGAAGTGCAAATGAACACAATACTTGAAGTGTTGCCAAGTTCAGAGGCCATTTTAATTAACGGGTTGGTGAATGAAAACGTGAGGGAAGGGAAAGGGAGGGAGTAAGGGAAAGACAGAGATTGACACGAAGGTAAGTGAAAAAAGGGAATGGGGGTAAGGGAAAGACAGGGGGAAGAAAGGATGGACACAGAGGGAAGTGAAGGGAAGAGAATGAGTGAAATGAGGGGATGGGAAGTTGACATAGTTGCCATTACAGGTATTCTTAGGCATGGCAACAACACTGTATGTTTGTATTTATCATCAAAATACGAAAAGTACTTTAAAAAAAAGGAAAAAGTTTGGTGATAATTTTCTATCTCTTACAGGGAGAGATAAAGACTTCTTCAAACAAACTAATTTCTCAAAGAAAAGACTTATAAAACAAAAGGAACACATATGAATACCATTACGAAGAGTAAAATAGTTTTAAACAAGTTTATTTAACAGAAAAAAAAAACATTATATCTTTTGGTTCACATAAGAGCACACTCGTGTTCATACTTTAGTTTATAAATAGTTCACTTTACTTATGGCATGCTACGTAATGTTTAAAGTATGTTACTATGTTTTGCAGAATAAGATATTTTTCTCGTTGTTATAGAGACATAGACTTGCAAATTTTATATACGTATTAAGAATACAATTTGTGACTTTTCTGTCGGTTATATTCCCATTGTTGAATTAAAAAGACATACACATGTAAGCATACAACACACACACACAAACAAACAAACACAAATGCACACACACAGAGCACAGATACACACATACATATACACATATACTCAAACACATACACACTCACAGACACACACTCATACGCGCGCACACACACACACACACACACACACACACACACACACACACACACACACACACACACACACACACACACAAACAAACACACACACACAAGAAAAAAAACGTGCACACACGCAAGCAAACACACTCACAAACATCAACACATATACGCATACAAACAAATACACACACACGCCCCTCTACGAACGTATAAGCTATACGTAAACCTGTATAAAAAATCTGTATAAATCCGTCATCACTTCCTTTACTCTTTCAGTCGAAGACATGATCCGGGAAGTGGACATCGACGGAGATGGGCGCATCGAC